AAAGGTTAGTATTTTAAAGAAAACAGCTATCAGTGACAACTTACTGAAGGAAATGAAGGCCTGACTGACTTGTGGAGGGTGATCGGGTGAGTGGCAGAGTTGATTTAGACCAAGCTGCATTTCAAGGGGCTGGGCTTTTACCCCACACGGTTCTGTTCCTCAAGGGTAGGCTGTATTCACCAGAATATGAAGTCAGGAAAAGCTGTTTCATGACTAAGAATCTGTCTCTGGGAAAATATCAGTGTTTTCCTAAGTAAAGTGTACTTACTAAAAGGACAAAAAGAAAAGCTGGAAGCAGGTGCCAGAGGCTCACATGTATTATCCTAACTACTCTGAAGACTGAGATAGGAGGATCGTGGTTCAAAGCCAACCCAGGTAGGAAAGTCTGTGAGATTCCTTATCTCCAATTAAATAACAGAAAAATAAAAGAGGTGGCGCTGTGGCTCAAGTGGTAGAGTGCTAGACTTCAGCAAAAGGAGCGTAGGGAGAGTGCCCAGGGCCAGAGTTCAAGCATCAGGAAAAAAAGGGGAAAAAACTAAATTGTTTTAACTTTTTTAAGTTGAAATGTGGTAGAGGATAAACTATCAATATTGTTTGGAAGCAATCTTTTCTTTTAATATGAAAATGAGCAGCAGGAAGAGCGGAAAACAAGAGCCTTGTTCTGTGGCCTGATTTTATAGTCAGTGGAAGCAATTTCTTGATAAATAGTTCCTATTAGAATCACAGAAGTTTATTGTCTGTGTATGGCTCAGTGGGAAAGTGTGTTCTTAGCTCTGGGTTCAACTCTCCGCAGGAAAAGGAAATGGAACTTTAGAAAGTACAATGTTCACAATACTATGAATGTCTTAAGATGCACTGTACTCACAATCTGATTTATTGAATCCAAATCCCTTTGTTCAACTACTTAAAATTAAAAATAAATAAATAAAAAGCATGTATCCCACATGAATGGAAGTCTGAAGAAAGGTTTTCCACGTAGTTACACTAATTTAAATTTCTGCTTTACTATGCTGACAGTTGATCTTCATCTTTTGAATATGGCCTGAAAATATCAAGATAAAGTTTTGCAACTAGTTAAGTAAGCATGAAGTCAGTTTCATATGTTTCTAATTATGTATATCTTTTTTCCAGATAGATATAAATCTGTTTTTTGTTTTGTGAAATAGGTTCTGACGTTGCAGCTCAGGCTGGCTACAAACACCACATGTAGATACAATCCTTCTTTTCTTTTTTTTCTTTTTGGCAGTACTAGGGTTTTGAATTCAGGGCCTGTGCTTGCCTAGCAAGGGCTCGAGCCACAATTGCGGTACTTTTTGCTTTCATTTTCAGAGAAGGTCTCATACATTTTTCCCTGGCAGCTTCCCATATACTTGGGGTCTAGCCTGACTTTTAGGATAAGGTCTCACTAACTTTTTTGTGTAAGCTGCCTTTGACTTGTGATCCTTCTATCTCTGTCTCTTAAGTAACTGGGATTATATAGGGATGAGCCACTGTGCCATTTGGTATGAGACCAAATTTAGTTCTTAAAATATTAATCACATTTAAATATGCAATTTTAGTTCGGAAAAGATTTGTTACCAGCAAGTAAATTAAAATAAAAAGGAATTTCTACCTTGTGCTTTTTCTTTCCTCAGGCGGATGCCATATTCATGCCAGAAAAAAATCTTCCTAGAACTCAAATTCAGTGATATTTTCCTGCAGTTAAAACCATTTCATGACTTGTTCCCTCCTCTATCTTCCTTCCTTCTCCCTCTGTTCTTTCTTTCTCCCAGGCTGGCCTTGAACTCAAGATCTTCTGCCTCCTGAGTGTTTGGGACCACAGGCATGGGCCACCGTGTCCAGTTCTTCTACAAATCATGACCAGCTTTCTCAGAAGGGCCCCCCCCTCAACCCTCCACAATCTGTTCCTGCTTTCACCTCTAGCCAACCACACAAAGGCCAGGCACAATGCAACTCCTCTGCCCTTCCCTTGTTTTCCTCATGCATAGCTCTCCTCACTTGGCTTCAGCCTCTCTTGCTGTCTGAAGTTCTACCTGATACTTCCTAGCACTAAATGAGCTCCTTCTCAATCCAGATTGCAATTTGTCCAACTCAACCTTCCCTCTCAACCTGAGAGGCCACAGGTACTTATTTGTACACTTGTTTGCTAAACATTTGCCTTAGTCCTTTATGTTTAATACTATTGATGGTACAGGACTATGTAGCATACTTATTTCTCTATTCCAGTTCCTAACAGGATGGCCGACACCTTCACAGCTAGGAAAAAAACTGAGTGAATACTGAAGGTATGTGAGTGAGGCTCGGGGTCCTATTAAAATGGTAAAGAGGGAGTAACTTCTCAATATGCCTTTGGAAGACAGGAAATAACAGTTAAAAAAATTTTTTTTAATCATGTACTCTTGAAATGCTACACAACTACTTACGTTTGTCTTCATATAAACTCTTAGATTTCAGGTAGACCTCAGAAGGATCTAATTTCGGAGATCCTGACCGGATAATGCTGGGTGGGAAAGGCATCGGCTGGGGAATGGACTCGTTTATGGCCTCCAAACTTCCTGAAATTTCTTTCTTATCTGTTTTCTAAAATAGAAAAAAGACACTCTTTGGTGTTTTTGAAAGTAAGATCGTTAATTCTTTCAAAAAGACTATGAGCTGGGCATGTCAACTTATAGCAGGTCTAAGGCTCCAGCTAAGGTCTCAGGTGGCAGGTCTAAGCTGAAGACTGGGGTTCAAAACCAGCCCAGGCAGACAAATCCAAGAGGGTTCAGGCTCCACTGCCACCACTACCAGGCAGTTATAATATGCAAATTCACTGCCACAGTCATGTAACTGACACTGACATGTCTACAAGCATGCCAGGCAAAAGATGAGCAGTCTTGTCAATCCAGCACTACCAAACACGACTTGACTCTAAGATGAAGATAAATAGGAAGACAAAAGGAGCACCTGTATGTAGAGTAACAGGGAGGCGCAGGGGCACCTTCAGAAAATTATTGATAAGCCCGACCTCCTAGTTGCTGAATTTAATTTGCAATGAAGATGCTTAAGATGATCTATTCTCTCTAGGAAAATGGGATGGAGAGTGAACTCTGATTTCGGTGAAAACTCTGCAGGCCAATGGAAATGCACTCTGGGAAAACACCCATGAAGGCAGGCAGCCACAAAAAGGAGGGCAGACTGGCCTATTGTCATACTTTTAACCATTTTGACAGGATTTCCCCAAAATAGTCAAGCAAAATGACTCTTCCCTTTTCCCTCCCTCTGTTCCCTCTTCCTCTTTCTGCTTTGTTATTTTGTGGCTAATACTGTGGCTTGAAATCAGGGCTTCATGCTTTTCCACTAGAGCTACCTCCACTTCTGGCTTTTTGGTGGTTATTTGCAGAGAGTTGTCTGCCCTGGCTGGCTTTGAACCTTAATTCTCAGATCTGAGCCTCCTGTATAGCTAGGATTACAGGTGTGAGCCACTGACTCCCTGCTCAAAAGAACTTCTTTAATAATAAATTCAAACATGAAATTCAATCAACAGTCTAAAATGTTGGCTTTGAGAATAGCCTGTTATCCTGAATTTTGGCTGAGGGGGAAGATTACAGAGTAATTACTGAGTAATTAACATGGACTGGAGACCGGCCTGTGAGGGAGTGATGAGGGGTTTCACAGTTCTGTGCCATCTGGGACCCTCCGTGACCCAGATGCAGTCACGCGGCAGGGTCACCACAGCGGCCTGGCATGGATGATGAAGCCAACCCCATGGCAAAGGAGTGGAATGACTGCCAGGGGAGGCAGAGAACACAGAAACACGCGGTGTCACCCTAACGGGGGGACAGGGGGCTCTGTTCACGGCGGACCTGTGGTATAAACCACCTGTAAAAAGGGCAGACTAAGCATCTTTTTTTTCCTACTTTGAGCTACAAACACAAAATCTACAGGGGATTTCTGCTTGGTGGGCTGGAAAGAATTAATCCATTTCACAAGATCAGATGATATTGCCTTTAAAAGTCTATGATTTATCATTCTGGGAGACCAACTTTCAACTGGAAGGTGAAAAAACTTCAAAATGAGCAAAGTGGACCTAAATTGGGGTTTAAAACAAGCCATCTTGCTCTCCATGTACACTAGGTGTGCACACAGAAGTAGGCACATGAGTACTCTGCTTCTTGCACAACAGCATTAGTTGGTACGTCTACTGTTGCATTTTCTTTCTCTGTGCAGGTCTTAATATAGACTGCTCAGGTTATTCCAAAACATGCAAAGACGCTGCTCTGGGTCTGATAGTCTGGCACTTTGATATAAGCAAACTTAGCTGGTTAAGGACAAAGGTTAGAAGGGTTCACTTAGTGCTAAGTGAGAGAAGGTCATCTAAATGTGCTATCTGCAGACTCCATGAAAGAAAGAGGAGCTTCATGGCTTCTTTTTTTTTTTTTTGTAAGGCTACTGACTAGGCTGACATTTAATAAAATAACATTCACTGTGGTTATCCAAAGAGGATTGGGAAGCTGCACTTAAATACAAATCATTTATTTCCCTCACAGCTCTTCAGTCTTGCAGCAGAAGGCATTTACCAGGGTTTACAGTGATCAGAAGCAAAGATGGGACTGGAATCCTGGATTTTGTTGTTTCTGCAGTCAAGGGCACTTTTTGACACATTGTCCTGCCATAGCTTCATGGCTTCTTTTAGGCATCAGCAAATAGACATAGCAGTCTATTATCTGTGCTAATGCTCAGCTACTTCTGTCCTTGCTCCTGAGAACCAGAAGGCAGAAGGATCTCAATGGAGGATCCCCAGTGTACCACATTTTACTAGCGGACAGGGCTGATGGCAGTTTGGGCTTCTAGTGCTCCTCTAGTAGCAGACTTAGCACAGCCTCCACCCAGGACTTCATGCTGTCCTCGTGTTTTGGATCCGCGGCTGGCAGCGTAAGCTTCCTGACCTCTCTAGCCATCACCAGGTCCTCGGGGAGCTGCTCTCATGGGGAGGAAGAGCGCAGACCTCTCAGGGAAAGGGCAGAAGTGTTTGAGGATCACTACGATACTCACCATTTTGGCAGTTTTAGATGGTGAAGGAGGACCTTAAAAAAAATGAGTCAGATTTTAAAAACAGAGGAAGCATTCTTAGATCACAAACACTAATAATGCTTATGATAAAACTAGTTACCACTTTTAGTAGGCTGTAAGTTCTTATCTAACTGTTCCAAGCATTATATGTATACCTTCTTATTTCATTTTTATAATAGTTCTAAGGCATTAATAGAATTATCATTAAACAGACAAAAAGATAAGGTTCCCTATACCACAGAAGCAATGTATAGCAAGGTAGGAAATGGCCATAGAAGCATCTGACATCCAACCCCAGTCTCTGTTATACGTGTTGAAGCCCTGGGAGACCCTTAGTACTAAAAAGAGATTTTTTAAAACCTAATTCTGAGTATGTTCTACCATTTACCCAGGAGAAGCCCAAGTGATTCAAAGAAATGAAAATGAGGAAAAATCTCCAATAAAGTTGAAATGCGCATTTGTCTCAAAAAGGAAAACTGAAAGCCAGAGTGATAGAAGAGAGAAGGTGTGAATTCCATTCTTTAAAATGCCAAGGAGTTGTGAAAGCCTATTAGCATGCAGCATGTAGCTGGTCAGTGCTTGGAATTGGATTTATAATCCATGAGAGCCGTTCACTCCAGCTGATGACCTTGAAACATAAAAATATCACTTCTCTTACATAAGCACTGCGAGGTTTGACTAGCCTTTCTGAACAGAGCCTAGAGCTAAAGACAAAGCCAGGTTGGCTGCCTCTGCAGAGCAGGGTACCCCTGCCCCTCATCGCACATCTGCACAGACAGACTGGCTCTTCCTCAGACCTGTGGTGCATGATGAAGTACCACTGGGCCAAAGGCTCAATTTCTGTTATTATCATGGAGAGAGAAAACAAGGTTAAGAGAATACATCTCACTTGAAGTAGTACAATATTGAGCCATAAATAATCAGATTTTGGAAAGAATACAACAGGAGGTGTGAATGCAGCCACTAATAACTGAAACACTGGGAAGAACGCCACTGTGGACAGCAACAGACAGAGCCTCAAGGAGGACACCCAGGGGTGCATCTGCCTCTGAGGGCGCCCAGCGAGCCGACGAACGTCCCGACACTCCGGCTCCTCTTGGCTACATTGACTTACCTCCTCTTAAGATAAGCAGAGGCACATCTGCACCTACTGGGAACTGCTTTAGCACTTCCACCACCTGGAGATGTGTTAAATTCTGCACATTCTGATGATAAATTTCCTTGATTATATCCCCTTTCTGAAGGCCTTGGCACCACTGACTGTCCAGTATCATCTTAACCTTCTGCCCAGTGGGGCTGTCAGCAATTGCAAAGCCGAAGCCCTTGGGGCCCTTGATCAAAGGGATAGTCACTAGTTCTGGCTGGGAGCTGCCGGAAGAGGCCACGGATGTTCTCTGTTCACCCAGATCTGATGGTCCATCAAGACAATCACTCATCAATACGTGTCCTGATTTTCCATTCTGGTCCAGAGCCACGGTTCCTGGCTTCAAGTCCTGAGCGGTCACGCATGTTTCTTCTTTTGTTAAGGACTGTCCATTGATGATAGGGGTAGCAGTGACAATGTCCACCACAGGGTCTTCACTGTCATCGGGGAGTGGGTAACCACGACACAAAGTGAGGTTGACATACTGATTGATAGGCACCAACTGAAACATCTGGACAACATCTGCATGGGTGTGACCCAGGACACAGCTGCCGTTGATGTCCACAATCACATCACCTGAGAAAATACAGTGTGAGAAGTTAAAGTCACCAAATAAGGTGATTTTTTTTGTTGAAGGGAGAAGCAAAGGTAACAATTCAATACAGGCACTGGATGTATTATTTAAGACACTGAAATGTGTGATACAGTGGTTAACAGAATGATGATCACTGGCTGCAGAATCGCTGTCATTCAAGATCACAAGCTGAGTCCTTTTACCCTCTCTTCTCATCCATTTGATTCTTTTATTCACAATGATTATTTAAAAGGTCACAGACACATAAAGGTGCTTTGGTTTGTAGGTTCCAAAACTCATCAGAATGCTGTTAGAAATATTAGTCTGTAAAATTTTGTTCCATAACTAAGAAGATACAAATGCGATTAATTGGAAATGAAGTTTTGATTTTTTTCCCCGATGAAGACTCACAGAATTTTTATGAAGGCATATTATTGCTATGCAAATTAGGTAAGCATTAGGTAAATCTGAAATTACATTATGAAATTCTGACAGCAAATATATATAGTAGCTATAAGATGTGTTTGATGGACAAAATGTAAAGAAAGGTTAAAATTGAAAATTAAAAAGAAAAACCCTGTTAATATCCGTCACTTCTGGGAAACATGCCCTAAGTTAGCATCTTGCCTTGACTCTCCTTCTCAAGCTCGTCAGCCACAACAAAACCATATAAAATATCCAACAGGCTGAAAGCCGGTGGCCCATGCTTGCCATCCTCCATACTCAGGAGGCTGAGATCTGAGGATCACAGTTCAAAGCCAGCCTGCGCAGGAAAGTCTGTAAGACTCCTATCTCCAATAGGAGAAATCTCAGAAAAAGTGGGAAGTACTGTGGTGGTTCAAGTGGGTATAGTGCTAGCTTTGAGCAGAGAGAGGCTCAGGGACAGAGCCCAGGCACTGAGTTAGTCCCAGGACTGGCAAAAAACAAAACAAAACAAAACAAAACAAAAAACAAACCCCAAAAAACCCAAACCAAACCAAACCAAAAATCCATCAATTCCAAGGAACAACATCGGGGGGAAAAAAAAGGATCGATTTGAGACTGCAGTTCAAAGGCAGTCCATGCAGGAAAGCCCAGAGACGTATCTCTGATAAAAAGCTAGAAGCAGAGCTGTGACTCAAGTTACTGGGCACTACCCTTGAAAAAAAAGCCCAGGGACAGTGCACAGGCCCTGAGTTCAAGCCCCAGGACTAGCACAACCACCACCTTTGGGAAAAATTATAGGATATAATTTTGACATTACTCTAAACATTACAGTGGACCATTTTTCATAAAAACATGGTAGGAAAATGTTAGATAGTTCCAAAAGTACACAATATAATAAGAGAATGACAATCAAATTGTCTTTTGAGATGATTAATAAATCACTGGTTTTGTACAGCCAAAGGATAATCTAAAGATTATACACAGTATTCAAAAAAGCTAATAAATGTAGTGTGTTTTCTCTGCTAGCTCCTGGCCCTTGCTCAAGCCAGCATACATTTAACTTTCAAGTCACATTATTTTAACATAGGAACTGTTCCCTTCTGTTGTATACTCATTCTCTCCCCTCTTCCCGTGTCTCCCCACTCCTCTCTGTGAACTCAGTACCAAATGGTCCCAGAGCCGCCAGTCCGTGGAACTCTGAAGAGCGCTACCTGGTGCGATCTTCCCATCCTGAGCAGCAGGGCCTTCGTGCAGCACGTTTTTCACCTGGAGGAACTCATCAGGCCTGTCTCCACCAATAATGGTAAAGCCAAATCCCATTGTGCTTTTTTTCAGTGATGCTCGAACTAGAACACCTTTAAGTTGGGATGGGTCCCGAGTAAAGTGTGATTTTTCCACATCTGGGCCAGATAAGAAAGGGATTTGAGAACAAAAGTAATTACATGAATTCAGCCCTAAAAACCAATTTTCAAGATGGCTTGTGTAACTCAAGAAAAAGAAATCATAAAGGAAAAAATTCAGAGAGTCTAATGTCATAGAGTAGCTGGTATTTTAGTGTATGAACTAAAACACAGGAAAAAATTTAACAAATAAATCCTTATTTGGGGGGGGGTTGGTAACAGTACCGGACTCTGACCTCACTTTTCAGATAGGATCTTGTACTGTTGGTTTGGGGTTGGCCTCACGCCTAGACCTTCCTATCTCTGCTTCCACCTGGCCAGCATATCACTTCTATTTATAGGATCTTGCATGCCATTTGAGAAAGTCCCTACTTATTCTCCTCTGTAACCCCAAATCGATTCTAGTAGTTTCCCTTTTGCTGGTTTCAGTTACCTGCTGTCAACCACAGTACAAAATTATTATTGTTATTGTTGTTGATTGTGGGGCCTGAACTCTGGGCATAAGCACTGTCCCTCAGCTCTTCAGCTCAAGGCTAGTGCTCTACTGCTTGATCCACACGGCCATTTCTGGCTTTTTCTGCATATGTGGTGCTGAGGAATCGAACCCAGGGCCTCATGCATGCAAGGCAAGCACTCTACCACTGAACCACCTTCCCAGCCCCAAGTACAAAATTATTAAACAGAAAAAAATCTGAGTAACTCTCCATCAGTGTGCTAAAATCTTGTGCATCCTGCTCCATTCCACCGTGGTATGAAGCAGCCTGTCTGGCTGCACCCCACAGTGGTGTGAGCTACCCTGCAGCTCTGCAGGACCATATGATTACCACTCACCAGTCACTTAGTTGTTGTCTGGGTTATCAGACTAGATCCATGGTATCAGGACGCCTGTATTCAAGGAACCCTATCTCATTCAATAACATCACCAAGGCACAAGAGTGGTGCAGGTATAGTGATTTGTATATGTTGAAAAGAAGCCAAAAAGAGTTTCTGTTCAGTGAACAGATTGTATCAATATGTATGTACGGGAAAAACAAAGCATAAAGAAGGCTTTGTATGGGTACAGGAAGGGGGTGTCTTGAAATGTATCTCCAGCAGATTAGATATGGGGTGACTATTGTACATCTCTGTTAGTAACAATGAAAGCTATAATTTATTGATCACAACATGCCAAATACCATTATAAGCACTTTGTACATATTAATTTGTTATTTCAACCACCTAAAGAGAGTATTATTATGATTCCTATTGTATACATGAGGAAAAGGAGGCACAAAGGTTTTAGGGATGTTACTCAGGGTCACATACATGAGATTAAAAACTTTATGCACAGGAGGCTCCAATGGGAGGATTACGGTTTGAGGCCAGTCCAGGCAAAAGAAGTTCATCAGATGTCATTTCAACCTATGGACAAGAATGGTAGCATGCACCTGTCAATCTAGCTAGAGGCTGAGGCTGAGACTGAGATGATTTGGCTCCTGACCAGCCTAGACACACAGTTTGCAAGGCCTCATCTCAACAGGAAAAACTGGCTGTGGTAGCACACACTGTCATCCCAGCTACAGTGGGGAATGTGAACAGGGAGACCACAACCCAGGCTGGGATGGGCAAAATGTGAGACCCTTTCTCAAAATATTCAGAGCCAGCCAAGTGCCAGCGGCTTACCCTGCAGTCCTGACAGGTCAGGAGGCTAAGGTCTGTGGTTTGAAGTTAGGCCTGGCAGGAAGTCTATCTCCAATTAATCAATAAAATGCTGGACTGGAGGATGGCTCAAGTGATAGAGTGCCAGCTGTGAGTGAGAAGGCTGAGCAAGAGTGTGGGGTGGGGGTGGGGTCTTAGGGTAATGCCCAGTATTAGCACAAAAAATAAATTAACAGCCAGAGCACAAAGGGTTAGAGGTTGAGCTTAAGCACTGGACTGTCTGCTTAGCTATCATGAAGCCTTGCGTTCAAACCCCAGTACTACCCAAAACAACCCAAAAAACCCACTGCAAATGGGCAATAGACTGGCACACTCACTGCAAGTTGTAGACTATGAATTCTCGAGGGCAAGACCTCCTTACTCTCAATCGTGAAAACCCAATGAGTAGCAAGCACTGGGAGACCAGGAGATGCTCAAACTATCTGTTAAACCCTGAGTATCTGATCATCTACACATACACAAAGCTGAAGAAGGGGGTGCTTCTACAGAGTAGCTGAGAGAAAGAACTATTTTCTTCACAAGCAATAAAAGTTGAGACTCTGCTAGACTATAATATGGCCAACAGACCTCTTGTTATTACTGACAGTGGAAGAAGGGATTGCATTAGAGAGGGATGAAGAAAGTCTAAAAACTCTTGGACAGCTTTTTCAGAATACACGTGACTGGACTAGACTCAAAAACTTATACATTCAAACATGTTTCCCAAGGATGGGCTGGGAAGGTGGCTCAGTGGTAGAGCACTTCCCTTGCATGCATGAGGGCCTGGGTTCGATTCCTCAGCACTACATAAATAAGCAGAAAAAGCCAGAAGTGGGGCTGGGAAGGTGGCTCAGTGGTAGAGTGCTTGCCTTGCAGGCCTGAGGCCCTGGGTTCGATTTCTCAGTACCACATAAAGCAAAACGCAAAAAGCCAGAAGTGGTGCTGTGGCTCAAGTGGTAGAGCACTAGCCTTGAGCTGAAGAGCTGAGGGACAGCGCCCAGGCCCAGAGTTCAGGCCCCACGACCGTACCCTTCCCCACCCCCCCCTAAAAAAAGAAAAAGCCAGAAGTGGTGCTGTGGCTCAACTATTGAGTTGAAGAGCTGAGGGACAGCGCTCAGGCCCAGAGTTTAGGCCCCATGACTGACTAAAAAAAAAAGTTTCCCTAAGTGATTCTGGTGTCACTAACACCTACCATTCTATATGACAGTCAAAGGTATAGGCAAATAACTTGCTATTTATTAACACTGGTTACTGAAGAATCCTGAATAGTTAGAGACATTAGACTTTAGTATAACTCAAGAGAAGCTCATAATGAAGTAGATTTAATAGTGTACCTGGCTTTAAACATAAGAACAATTCAAACCTCAAACTCATACTTTTTAGTTTTTTTCATACTTTTTACATAATGAGAAAATCTCAGTAGTCTCAGTGTTCACGTGTTTATTAAGATTGTTTATATCCTTATAGGGGCAAAAATTAGACCTTCTCTGTTGAATGTCAAAGGCCTAGCAATAAAAACTCAAACTCACTTTTATTATCTGAGCACACAAATTTCACATTTTATTCTGAGGAAAAAAGATCAAACAGAAACTCTACCTGGGTTTGAGGGTGCAATCCCGGCCTGTCCTAGCTGCTTTTTCCTTTTGGCTTCTTCCACTGGATTTTCAAACTGGGTTTTCTGGTTAAGGTGGCTGTAAAATGTGGAGAAGTGTGGACTTCAGGTTTGATGAAATCACAACATCATTTCTAAACCGACACCACGCATTTTCATGGCCAGAGGCCAGGGCGACGCAGGCTGTTAGGGGCTGAGCACCGAGATGCTGACAGCAGCACTCAGCCACCACAAGACCGGTCAGAAAGCAGCATGACTCTTACCTAAAGACCTCACATATGGCAACTGGTCAGTTAGATTTTCAAAGGCCATTTATGAAAGGGTTTTAATAAAGCAACTTTCTCCAAAATGGAGCGAGCTACCACAGTATTTTTTAAGAAATATGGTACTCTTCTAGACTATTACTACAGTATATTATTTTTTCAACTGAGCTGCCCAAAACAAGTCAACAGTGACTAAGAAAGTATAACAAACTCTTTTGCACTTGAATTTCTTCAGAATTCTGTAATAATTAAATGTGTTGAATTCAACTGGACCTGATGCTCAGGAACATTTACACTCTACAAGCCGGGAACCTGGGGGCCGGGCAAGCTGTTACCCCTCATCCCAGGCTGGGAGAGCACCATTCATGCTGGTAACCTTCCTGCGTGAAAACTGGCTAAGACACCACCGTCATCAGAAAACAAAACCATGGCTAGGTCTCACACAGCCACAAGAATCATCGTCTATACTTTCACAATGCGGAGACATTGCAGGGTTGTGGCTCACGTGGTAGCGTGCCTGCTAACAATCACCAGGCCCTGAGTCAAACACCAGTACTGCCAAGAAAAAAAAAGATACTTTGGCTACATGATATATGTTTTCCAGTGAAATCTCCTCAAGTCAGCTGTCATTGTTCCCAAGTGAACACCAACAATTAAATGTTAAACCTGACTTTCGCGATAGGACTCTCCTTAGACCACACACACACACAGCCACACAACGTTCTCACATGGCGATGCGATGGGCAGCAGGCACTCTTTGCCCTCCGGGCTGCTAGGACTTACTAACTCCACCACAGATATGCGAGTCTTAGAACTCTAAATACAGGCGTCCCAGCCAACACTGCAGCTGCTCACTTCGCCAACGCTCAGGATACCAATGCCTCGTGATACAGGTGCTTTCTCCACCGAGTCACCTGTTTAGCTGTGAGATGAAAATCTAGGCATGCTTCAGAAACTCCTCTTGGACAGTCACACTTTACATGCTCTTAAGTAAACAGACGGACACTGCACAAACAAAAGTTAAAGCTGCTCGGAAAGCAGCCTGGCCCCTGACGTCCTTAGCTGGAATGACCCCGATGCCACAGAGCATCCAAAGCTGCAATGTGGAGCAGACAGCAAGCTGTCTACTTGCTGAAGAGTTTTCCTCACAGAAAACAGCAAGATGTAATGAAGGGAATAACCGCATCTGTGACCTTACACTGCCTAGATTAAGAATCTCGCACCTGTAATCCAAGCTACTCAGGAGGCTGAGATCTGAGGACTGCAGTTCAAAGCCAGCCCAGGCAGCAAAGTCTGTGAGTTTCTTCAACCAACAAGCAAAAAGCTAAAAGTGGAGGTGTGGCGCAAGTGGTAGTAGAGTACCAGCCATGAACAAAAAAAGCCAAGAGAGAACACAAGGTTCCAAGTTCAAGCCAGTATGGATACACACACACACACACACACACACACACACACATACACACACACACACACACACACACACACTCCCCACAGTACAACAAAAATATCATTCTCTAAAATGAAACAAAATAAAAAAGTGAAAATACTCTTCTTTTCACTTAGTTACTTATCAAAATGTAACAGACATATTTTCCCGTTACTCCTTATAGAGCAAGGTATTTTCATAGCAAGAAAGGAAAGCATGACAGATTATTGAAGAAATAGGCATACTTCAATATCTAAGTGGTAATTTTATAATACCTAGATTAAAAAATCTACCTCACTGGGTGACGGCAGCTCACCCCTATAATCCTAGCTACTGAGGAGGCTGAGCTCTGAGGATCACAATTCAAAGCCAGCCTGGGCAGCAAAGTCCGTGAGACTCTTATCTCAATTAACCTCCAGAATACTGGAAGTGGTACTGTGGCTCAAGTGGTAGAGCGCTTGCCTTGAGCTGAAGAGCTGAAGGACAGCGCCCAGGCCCAGAGTTCAAGGCCCATGACTGACAACAACAAAAATCTATCTCAAGAAATAGATATGAAAGTTGATACAAATTTTGACTGTTGCATAAGTGTATCAAGACTTCTAATGCAATACAATGAAGACATTTCTAAATGGATGCACTTAGAATATTCTAAATTATTTATTTTCAAAACTAAAAAATTAATTTCAGAATCTAATCCTCTGAATAGTCATAGAGAAAAACTGCCACTGCTGTTGGTGTTACTTACTACAGGTTCCTGTGGGTGTTACTAGTTGTAGGTTCCTGTGGTGTTACTAGTTACAGGTTCCTGTGGGTGTTACTCACTACAGGTTCCTGTGGGTGTTACCCACTACAGGTTCCTGTGGGTGTTACCCACTACAGGTTCCTGCAGGTGTTACTAGTTACAGGTTCCTGTGGGTGTTACTAGTTACAGGTTCCTGTGGGTGTGACTCACTACAGGTTCCTGCGGGTGTGACTCACTACAGGTTCCTGTGGGTGTTACTCACTAGAGGTTCCTGTGGGTGTTACCCACTACAGGTTCTAGCAGGTGTTACTAGTTACAGGTTCCTACAGGTGTTACTCACTAGCGGTTCCTGCCAAAAGCAGTCCCTGATGCCATCTGGCCTGACAGAGCCAGAGTAGCATTCAAGGAACAGCTCTACTCCTTGAGATTCACATACTCACGCAGACAACCCTCCCCCTCCATCAGTGCTCTCACAGACTATGCAGAGGAGTCAACGCCAGCAAATCTGGGAATCAAGCCATGTTCCACCACACAGCCAGCTCCATACTAACATGCGTCTCCAGTACAGCCTGTGCTTCCTAATTTAACAAGGTGCTCCTGTAAATGACCTCACTCATGTCTTCCAATTCGGGGTGCTCCACACACCCCGTGACAACTGGGGGTGGGTATGTCACGATTTCCCCAAGTCACTTCTGCTTTATGTGCTTTTTTAAAAGATCATTCTGCTCAAGATTTTCTAACAGGCAAATGACTCTCACCTCTTTCCCACATATTCAAATTCATTTGGAATGGGTAATGGTGAGAATCATTATCTCAGACATGTTCAGTAGTTCAATGGTAAGTACTTGATAAATGCTTTATTTAATAGGCTACACTACAAGAAGAAAAAAAATTCCAACCATTTTTTTTTCTGGCTGGCCTCCAACTATTCTTTTGACTTGAAAAAAATTGGTTTCTTCCTTCCTTTAAATTAAATATGCCTCAAGAAAAAATAACAAAGGAGCTACATGCACTTTGCATATCACACATTTAATGAGTATCAGCAACACATTAAATGACACAATGGAAGTAAAATTAGCATAGCTTTTCAAAGGAAGCAAACATCTACAGCCACAGGTCAATTTCAATATTTCCTTAGGATAGAGGGCAGATTTTTAGAAGTTATTCCAAAAATCTCTAACCACATTGACTCAGAAACAATTTACATATGAAAGAGTATAATAAGCCTCAGAGATATTGTAAAGATGATTATCGGGAAATGATATTAGTTTATACTAGCAAGGGTTAAAAAATAAGTGATCATAAAACAAGAAGATTCTAGTGTTTGCTGTTTTTCCAAAATGATCATTTTGTCCAACTGTATAGTAGGCAATGGGTTCAGTCTTTAATTTTCCAGAAAAATAATAATGTTTCTGATATAATTATTTTCCTGGTACTACATACCTTAGCACCTGGAAGAAAGGTAATTTGGTGGCCATAGCAATGTAAATCTTAGAAGCAACAGTGGCCAACATCAGGTGTCTGGTGCTCCTGGCTGACACACATCTGCACTTTAAAATCCCTTCAAACTACTCTCCTCACAAAGAAACAACAGGCGTGTACGGCTTTGGTAACGCAGGCACCGCTCTGGCTCACTGTGTCACAACGTGGTAAGGTCCTGTAACTGCTTTCCTAGCACACACTGCAGTACTGGCAGCAGCAGCAGCAGGGCGATCTGCCCAGATCCCTCATTTCACAGTTCAACATCTTTTATAGCACTTAAAAAAAAAAGATTGTAATGGGAACACTATCATCTCCTGCCTCAGGAGTCGTCCGTTTCTTCTGTTTTCCCCCTCCGCCTCAGCTTCTTTTGAGGATGGGAGAGGAAAAGGGCTTTGTTTGCTATGTTAAGATCCTAGGTGGATCTTAAATTCTTTTACTCAAGCAATCCTCCTGCCTTAAATTCATAAGTAGCTGGAACTACAGGCTTGCACTACTACCACACTGGGCTTGACCTTCTAGTTTCTATATTTAGATTAAAAGTCAACTGCTGGGAAAGCTCCAAGTCACCACAATAGATGCTCACTTCTCCTGCCAGATTCCCTGGGTTGGAAAATGAGGGGTCACAGGCCACATCCAAATAAAAGTACAACATCTAGAGGACTATTGACTGACCGAGGTAGCAAACTTACTCAACATAGTATGTCCCGTACTGAGGGTCTTCTATTTTCTCCCAACCGTAAGGAAGCTCTGGAAATAAAAGAAAATTGATGAAGTGTCCATTCTAAAAAGACAAAAATTAATTCACCAGTAAGTTAATTTGTCTCCTTTATATCCTAATACTTTGGAGTCAGAGAGAACTGGCTTTCAAAGAATGAATCTAGTTTAAATCTGAGTGTGTATCTCAGTAGGTAAATAGAGGGCTTAGGACAAAAGGCTTAAATGAAAGTATTCCTCTGAATCACAAGACAAAGGGCTGTTTCCTGTTAAAAAAACATTGTGGCTATTTACTTATTTATTGTGTAGCTTGATAGGGATACCATGAGACACATCCTGCCCCATACAAGAAGTAACTGTATGTTAGAATATTCAGTATTACACAGAATTACTTCTGCTACTCCAGCCCTCTTCTCAAAGCAAAGTTCTGCCTTGGATATTTGTCATTCCAAGTATGCAATCTGGATCTGTTTAAAACCTATAAAATTATCTTTTCCCTTTCAATAACTGGAGCCAAATACCTGCCAGAACACTGATTTATTTAATTACACAGTGCCTATGTAATCTGTAAGGAAGGATATATGTGTAGATACACATGTATGTATATGTACATATACATACACACACATATATTATATACACACATATATACATGTGCACACACATATATTTCTCCTGGAATTTTGACTTCATGTCTGGGCTGGTTTTCAATTGTGATCCTCAAATCTCTGCCTCCCAAGTAGCTAGGATTACAGGTATAAAACACCAGCCAAAGGAATGTCTTACATAGCAGTACTATATATTATTTACTCTAACCAATGACCAATAAAACATAATATGAAGGACAAAGGGAATCGAGTTTCTAATCATTAAAAAAAGTGTGGCCTTCTCCACAAGAACTGACTCTGTGCAGAACAATCCACCTCCCACCCTCAGTTACTGCTTCTGTACCCTTCTTAATATGTGCATGTAGAAGGACATTTCCTGCAGGTGGTTACAGAGATGTCGATTGTACATAAGTGAGCAGGGAGGTAAGAAGAAGGATTTAAAAACCCACAGTTGTTCACTGTTCACAGCATGGTACCCCATACTTTTATTTACAGTTCTTTTAGGAGTTTCTGGATACACACATGAATGACATATGCTGGGCTACAAATAGACCTTCAATACATGGAAAAATTTGTTCATTTTGTTACTGAGCCTCAGCTATGACATATCATAGTAAAAATTGAACTGTGATGAACTTGACAAGATATCCAAGCTGAAATAAAAATTACTATCCTGTATTCAGAATAAAAGGAAAGACTGATTAGCATCTTGGAAAACTGAATTATTCCTTTCCCTTCTCTCTAGCACATTGCTTGTAAAAATATTGGTTGGTCATTTCAACACTTGCTGATTTTCCTTTGACCTGGTCAAATGCTTGGAATGAATAAGGAAGAGGGAGGAGCTACTCAAATACCTGAAATATGCCAAGTGAAAGAAAGGACCCTTGTATCTATGAAGCAACCTGTCTTCAATAAACAGGCATAGGGTGCTATCAGCAAGTCACTGCTATACAGATAGGGTGTTTTTTTGGTATTCTATCTAGAAATGCACAGTAACAATATTATTAAAGTGTTCTGATTCTTTTTTTTTTTTTTTTTGATATAGGTACTGGGTGGACCTTGAACTCAAGAGCTTTTTTTGTTCAAGGCTGGTGCTCTACCTCTTGAGCCACACCTCCACTTCCAGATTTCTGCTTGTTATCTGGAGACTAAAAGACTTTCCTGTTCAGGCTGGCTTTGAACCACATTCCTCGGATCTCAGCCTCCTGAGTAGCATGAGCCACCGGGCGCCCAGCCATCTTCCAGTGAGCACCAAGTGAGGACGTGCTTTACAACTGGTCTTTACAGAAAGTTGGAAAAGCGAGGGAGGTAAAGGTCCTCAGAGTCCGTTGGATTTTTAAAGAAATTCACTAAGGCCGGGCGCTGGTGGCTCACGCCTGTAATCCTAGCTACTCAGGAGGCTGAGATCTGAGGATCTCGGTTCAAAGCCAGCCCGGGCAGGAGAGACCGTGAGACTCCTATCTCCAATAAACCACCAGAAAACCGGAAGTGGCGCTGTAGCTCAAGTGGTAGAGCG